TGTCAACAGTTTTTTCTTATTCAGAACGATATTCTGATCCCTGCACTACATTCAATGTTTGAAGATTTTCTCAGGTTTATAATTTATTATGTGGATTTTTTTGATTTTTTTTAGATTTAATCTGACCTTCATTAAGACAGAGATAATCTATAGTTGGTTTAATTTGATTACATGGACAGATCCTTACATGTTAATCTTTCTTCAGACAAAGGCAATCTGTGATCAAGCTATGGGTGTCCAATCTGGCAGTAGTCTGAAATATGAAATATTTCTTAAGAAATAGAATATTTTGGAATAGAAAAACATACTAATCAATGCCAAATTGGTTAAGCATTTTACTTCATACAGACTTCTTTTGGAAAAACTAAGCAGCATTCATTTCATGATGTCTACTGCAACGAATATTACTGTCACATATGGTCCAGGGCTCCAGCTGTATATCTAGAGATTCTTGATAAAATCCAAAAAAGAATTGGCAATATTATCTCGCTGTAACAGTTGAATTTCCCAAATGCAGCTGTAAGTTCTTTGATAACAGTTTTCTTTTTCTTTTTTTTTCTATCTTCTTGCTTTCCAGTCAACTTTGATCTTCAAAAACTTAAATGCAATGTCAGTTGCTATCAACTGTCTTTTGGATTCCTCTTTATTGTTCTTTTCCCTGATAATGTTTCTTTTTTTTATTCTTTCACACTCAGTAGCTCCCTTCTGTCTTGGTGGCCTTGCTTAGGGTGAAAAAATTAAGAAAAAAGAAAATGCAATACCTATTGTTTATGGTTAAAAATGTTTTTTTCATTTTGTTTGCTTTTAAACATACTTAAGAAAAAATTAAGTTTTCTTTTTGAAAAAATATAGAAAAATTATAATGCTGTTAAATATTCTTCTTTTTCATATTGTATCCCTTCACAACGTTGGTGATTATGTTTCTCCACAATTTCCTGTCATTTAATAAATTTTGTTTTTTGTCATCTCACCTAAACCCTGTTATTCGTGCAAAGTCACTAGGTAGGTTATGTGTTGCTTTCCTCTGTCCCACTTGCCTTTAAACTGTTCTGTGAGTATCAAATTTTCCGAGCCCTCATTATGTATTGTAAAAATTTGTGGGGAGCTCGGGAAAATACTGAATATATTAAAGCTTACTGATAAGCGATATGTATTTTTTTCAAACAATTCTACTACAGTCCTCCTCTGTAGTTACTGTCTTTAAGAACATTGGAAAACCTTCTAACCCCTCTGAATTATCACCCTATATATCACTTACTTCTTTTTGGCAATGTACTAGATGCTCTAATCAACACTGAATTTGTTAAGCATCTTACTTCACATGGCCTCCTTTCAGATAAAAAAAATTGGCTTCTGTTTCACCAGGTCTACCACTGATGTACTAACACTGAATTTGTCTATCAGGCTTTAGATAAAAACAGCAAAACTCAGGCTGTGGCACTAGATATCTAGAAGGCATTTGACAGGGTTTGGCATGCAAGCTTTCTCCACATGATCAAGGGGTAGAGTGTCTGTAAGTGAATTTAATTTCTTATTAGGTACCCTGTAATTTGAACCTTGTGTTGGACTAAACTAAGCTTGGTAAATATTTGTAGATATCAATCAGATGGAAAATATCTGTTGAGTCAGCATTTTCTTGGGTAAATATTTCAGTTTTTATCAGTGATTTTATGCCTCTTAGTTTGCAGTTTCTCTCCTGTCAAAGCTTGCTTCATATTTTGCTGTTTTTTTCTTTATAACTACGTCTGTGAGAAGCAAAAAAGAAAACATATGTATTTATTTCTTAACTCTTTCCTCTTTTTTTTACAATGGATTTATTTTGCCAAAAATGGCCCTATTCATCTGTCATCTGTCATCATCTACATCATCATTATTGTAATTTTTATTACTTAGACAAAATGATTTTTCCGTTAACTCCAGAGAGCCTTATGTTGATGTCAAAAGTTCTTATGAAACCTTCTCTGAAATATAGGGTTCAGTTTGACATTCCAACTACCTAAAGAAGGCCAGCGTACAATGGCCGAAACGTTGTAATAAGCACGGTGACAAAGATGAGGACAATAGTCCAAATAATATAAATAATATACATAATACCACATCTCAGAAATATAGATAAACTTTCTCTGTATCATTGTCTAAAATTGTCTGATAAACACTTGACCTTGTATTCTCATTTTGTTGTTTAGCACAAAAGCTTTGTTTTTTGCATTCTGAAAATTTTTTATGTTGCTTCCTTTTAAGATATTTTTAAATTCACCCTATGCAAGACAATAGGGCTACTAAGACACAAGGGGCTACTAAGTGTCAAAGAATTAGAAAACAGAAACGTTATTAAGGATAAAGAAAAATAAAAGAGGAATCAAGAAGACAGTAGATAACTTTGCATTTCAAATATGGAAAATCAAAGTTGGCTGGAAAGCATGGAGCCAGAAGAGAGTTTTACAAGTAAGAAGTGCAATGGTAGAAATTGGTAGCATAAAACTTATAGTTACATCTTGCCATGTCAAGTGTAATATGACGAGACCTTGTTGCCAATTTACTACGGCACTTAAATTCATAAAGTCTGTGTACCATAGAAGAGAGTTCATCAGAACATTTATTTTGTGATGTCAATGAACACTGGTTTCCACTTGTGTAATTTCAATGAATGCTCGTTGTCACTTTCATAATTCTCGTTTTAGTAGAGACTTTGTCATCGCAGATACAACTATAGTAACGCCGTTGAATAATACTGGTGTCAGATGCCTTTGAATAACACCCACACTAATAGTACTTGCTCGATAATACTCACTTGAAAAGTAACCACCGAATAGTAATCCATATAGTGGGATATTCACTAACTGCCCCATGGGGTCAGATGTGGCACAAGTATTATTGTAGGGTATCCGATATTTTATTTTTATGTCTGAAGGTTTTGGTGATGTCAACGAAAACTCATTGCCACTTTTGTAATGCCCATTGTAGTAGAGACTTTGTAATCGCAGATACTACTATAGTAACACTATTGAACAATACTAGTGTCAGATGCCTTCGAATGACTTAATAGTACTTACTTGATAATACTCACTCAAAAAGTAACCACCGAATAGTAATCTGTATAGTGAATAGTATAGAGATAGAGGATAGTGTAGAAAGAGTGATCCATATAGTAATAGAGGATAGAATAGAAATGATGATCCATTAGATGTCATGCTACTTCCTATTTATGCATTTCCTTTATGGTCATGTGATCTACTCAATGGAATTGCTCATGTTTGTTCATTGGCAATCTATGTTCAAACTACAGTGTCACCAGTGACACTTTACTCTTATACAACAATTTACCATGAAAGTATTTATAGAAAAGTCACAGGCAAGCTACATTACAGTGGTGGGAAAGTGATTGAAGTCTGGATGCCAGGTCAGGACCAGTAACACTGCAGATTCTTCTTTGGATTTTATCAAGATACTCTAAATATATAACAGGTGCACCAGATCATATGTGGAAGCAATATTTGAAGCATGAATGAATGGTCAACTTATAATTATGCAATAGACAGGAGTGAAAAACTGTCTAGGGAAACATAATACACCAACATTCCTAACAGCGGATCTAGTAATTTTTAAACATAAAAAATATAGAAATTACATATTTTTAAATATTAAAACTATATGAAATACACATTCTAAATATAAAAAAGTGGAATTACATATTTTTTAAATTTAAAAAATATAAATTACATAATCTTAAGTAAACGAAAACCCCTCAAAAATGTACAACTGACAATTATCTCATTTCTGTGCATTAACTTTCTTAACAGAAAAAAGGGAAAAAAATCTCTGCCAAGTGAATTGATAAATGCTAACCTCAATTCTTTTACCAACTTCAAGCTCTCAACAACAAGAGATGGAACAAACCACTTTACAAACTCTGTAAAACAAGTTTAAACAATATTTGACTGATAATAATCCACAACAGAAATAAGTAGAAAACTGTCAACAAGGTCTGATAGAAGCCATAGAGAATGAGAACAATGCCAGGGGACCATTATTAAAGTTTTGGAGAATGGACGTGACATCACAGAGTGCAGCGTCTGGAGGTGAGGTTTAGTGGGTGGTGCCTTTAGGCAGGAAGTGAACATATTACAAGAAGTGCCTATTTCACTGGCAGTCCAGGCTGCATTGGGAAAGGTTAACGCCAAGTAGGATATTGGGAGAGGGATTTTGAATAATGCTTTTCCTGTGTGGAACTGAAAGGAAAAGTGAAAAAAGACAGTGAAAATGAAAGTGAAAGTGAAAGTAAGTAAGCATAAAATAAAAAGTGGACATAAGGAAAAGTAGAAAATATATATATATATATATATATATATATATATATATATATAAAAAGAAGGGGCTACAAAGAGAATTCAAAGGAGGAATAAATAAGATAAGAGAAGGCCAAAAGTGAATGTTAAAATAAAAAGTAATGAATGAAAATTTTAAACATTGCAATGAATGATAATTTCGAAGAAATAAAACCCAGAGTAAAAAATAAACCGTTTAGCAAAGGAAAAATGAAGAAACAAATTGAAGTGGAGGAATGACTGAAGAAAGATTAAAAAAAATGTTTAAAGGCTCATTCTGGAGAAAGTGAGAATGAAATAAGTTAAAGAAGGAAAAGCCAAAGGAAATAATGAAGAAGAAAAGGATAAAGTTCACTGAAAAGTTTCCAAGTTTTTTTTTAATGCTTTGAATTTTTAAAAATCATTTTTCCATCGACAGAAGGATGCTGAGAATACAATGGGATGAACGTGTGAGCAACATTTAGAGAAAATAGAAAGAAAAAAGAAACTTACCAGGAAGAAACAGTTGAAATTTATATATTGAGGAAAGAGGAACTGGAAAATCTGATACTCACAGGTCGGATTGAAGGCAAGAGGGATAGAGGAAAACAATGTATAAACTACCTAGCAAGCTTGAGTAATGGTTGAGCAAGGTTTATGAGAGATAGCGAAAAGACTAAATTTTTATGAGCTTTCATGATCAAATTCCTGACTGGATTTATTGAATCTTTTCATCTTTGGCTATCTTTTTCCCTCTTCTTACGTCTACCTTCTTCCTTATTACATTTTTTCTTTCTCATTTCTTCTAGAATATTTCTTTTGTACATCTCTTTTCATTTTCTTTCTCATTCTTCTTTGTATTATTTCACTTCTTTTTCATTTTTCTTTCTCATTCTTCTTTGTATTATTTCTTTATACATCTCTTTCCATTTTTTCTTTCTCATTCTTCTTTCTATTATTTTCTTTGTACATCTCTTTTCATTTTTCTTTCTCATTCTTCTTTATTTATTTTTTATACATCTCTTTCATTTTTTCTTTCTCATTTTCTTTCTATTTTTCGACAATTACATCTCTTTTACTTTTTTTTATTTTTTTCTTTTTTTCTATTATTTCTTTTATTTCTTCTTTTTCATTTTTTCTTTCTCATTCTTCTTTTTATTTCTTATTTCTTTCTTATATTTTAAACATTCTTTTCTTCTTTTTTCTTTCTTTTTATACATCTTTTTAATTTTTCTTTCTCATTTCTTTTTTCTTTCTTTATTTCATCTCTTTTCATTCTTCTTTTTATTATTTCTTTGTACATCTCTTTCATTTTTTTTCTCATTCTTCTTTCTATTATTTCTTTGTACTCTCTTTCATTTTTCTTTCTCATTCTTCTTTCTATTATTTCTTTGTACATCTCTTTCATTTTTTCTTTCTCATTCTTCTTTCTATTTTTTTCTAAATACATCTCTTTCATCCTTTTTTTTCTTTCTCATTCTTCTTTCTTTATTTAAAAAATTCATCTCTTTTTTTTTTTCTTTCTCATTCTTCTTTCTTTATTTCTTTGTACATCTCTTTATTTTTTTTCTTTCTCATTCTTCTTTTCTATTTCTTTTACATCTCTTTCATTTTTCTTTTTTTCTTTCTCCTTTCTTTTTCTTTCTAAAATTTCTATTATTTCTTTTTTCTTTCATTTTCTTTTTCATTCTTCTTCTTTATTTCTTTTACATCTCTTTGTTTTTTCTTTCTCATTCTTCTTTCTATTATTTCTTTGTACATCTCTTTCTTTTTTTCTTTCTCATTTCTTCTTTTTTATTTCTTTTGTACATCTCTTTTTTCTTTTCTTTCTTCGATTTTTCTTTATTACATCTCTTTCATTTTTCTTTTTCATTTTCTAATATTCTTTTTTTCTTTTTTTTCTTTCTTTTCTTTCTCTTCTTTCTATCACTTTTTCTTTTATACATCTCTTTATTTTTTTTTTTTCTCATTTTTCTTCTTTGTATTATTTCTTTTTACATCTCTTTTCATTTTTCTTTTTCATTCTTCTTTGTTTCTTTCTATTCTTCTTTCTTTTTCTTTCTCATTCTTCTTTCCTTTTTCTTTCACTTTCTTTCTCATTCTTTTTCTTTTTCTTTGTCATCTCTTTCATTTTTCTTTCTTTTTCTTCTTTTTTTTTCTTTCTCATTCTTTCTTTTTCTTTCTCATTCTTTTTCTATTTTTTTTCATCTCTTTCATTTTTTTATTCTTCTTTTTTATTTCTTTTACATCTCTTTTCATTTTTTCTTTTCATTCTTCTTTCTATTATTTCTTTATACATCTCTTCAATTTTTTCTTTCTCATTCTTTTTCTATTATTTCTTGATACATCTCTTTCCTTTTCTTTTTTTCTTCTTTCTATTATTTCTTTTGTACATCTCTTTCATTTTTTTTCTCATTTCTTCTTTGTATTATTTCTTTTACATCTCTTTCTTTTTTTCTTTCTCATTCTTCTTTCTATTATTTCTTTTACATCTCTTTCATTTTTTTTTTCTCATTCTTCTTTCTTATTTCTTTTGTACACTCTCTTTCATTTTCTTTTCTCATTCTTCCTTCTATTATTTCTGAATATGTCTTTCATTTTTCTTTTCATTCTTCTTTCTTTATTTCTTTGTACATCTCTTTCATTTTCTTTCTCATTCTTCTTTTATTATTTCTTTTTTTTTTTTTTTCTTTTCATTCTTCTTTGTATTATTTCTTTTACATCTCTTTCATTTTTCTTTCTCATTCTTCTTTGTATTATTTCTTTGTACATCTCTTTCATTTTTATTTCTCATTCTTCTTTTGTATTATTTCTTTTATACATCTCTTTCATTTTCTTTCTCATTCTTCTTTTTTCTTTGTGGATCTCTTTCTTTCTCATTCTCTTTTCATTTTCTTTCTCATTCTTTTTTTTCTCATTCTTCTTTTATTTCTTTTCTTTCCTTTTTTCTTTCTCATTCTTCTTTCTATTATTTATTTCTTTCTTCATCTCTTTTTTTTTCTTTCTCATTCTTCTTTTCTATTATTTCTTTGTACATCTCTTTCATTTTTTCTTTCTCATTCTTCTTTCTATTATTTCTTTTGTACATCTCTTTCATTTTTCTTTCTCATTCTTCTTTCTATTATTTCTTTTTTCTTTATTTTCTTTCTTTCTTTTTTTCTTTTTTCTTTATTCTTTTCATTTTTTTTTCTCATTTCTTTTTCTATTATTTCTTTTATTCTCTTTTTTTTTTTTCTCATTCTCTTTTCTTTATTTCTTTGTACATCTCTTCAATTTTTTCTTTCTCATTCTTCTTTCTTTATTTTCTTTCATCTTTCATTTCTTTCTTTTCTATTTTTTCATCTTCTCATTTTCTTTTCATTTCTTCTTTATTATTTTTTTTCTCTTTCATTTTTTTCTTTCTCATTCTTCTTTTCTATTATTTCTTTGTACATCTCTTTCATTTTTTCTTTCTCATTCTTCTTTTTTATTTCTTTGTACATCTCTTTCATTTTTTTCTTTCTCATTTTTTCTTTTTTATTATTTCTTTTGTACATCTCTTTTCATTTTTTCTTTCTCTTTCTTCTTTTATTATTTCTTTGTACATCTCTTTCATTTTTTTCTTTCTCATTCTTCTTTCTCAATTTTTTCTTTTTACATCTTTTTTTTTTTTTTTTCTCATTCTTCTTTCTATTCTTTTCTTTTACATCTCTTTCATTTTTCTTTCTCATTCTTCTTTTATTATTTCTTTATATCTCTTTCAATTTTCTTTCTCATTCTTTTTGTACATCTCTTTCATTTTTTTTCTTTTCTCATTTATATATTTTTCTTTTCTTTCTTTTTCTCTATTATTTCTTTGTACATCTCTTTCATTTTTTCTTTCTCATTCTTCTTTCTATTATTTCTTTTTACATCTCTTTTTTTTTCTTTCTCATTCTTCTTTGTATTATTTCTTTGTACATCTCTTTCATTTTTTTTTCTTTTTTGTATTATTTCTCTCTTTCATTTTTTCTTTCTCATTTTCTTTCCTATTATTTCTTTATACATTCATTTTCTTTCTCATTCTTCTTTCTATTATTTCTTTGTACATCTCTTTCTTTTTTTTCTTTCTCATTCTTCTTTCTATTATTTCTTTTCAAACATCTCTTTCATTTTTTTTTTCTCATTCTTCTTTCAATTATTTCTTTTGTACATCTCTTTTTTTTTCTTTCTCATTCTTCTTTCTATTATTTCTTTTTACATCTCTTTCATTTTTTTTTTCTTCTTTGTATTATTTCTTTTTCATCTCTTTCATTTTTCTTTTCATTTTCTTTCTATTATTTCTTTTGTACATCTCTTTCATTTTTTTCTTTCTCATTCTTCTTTCTATTATTTCTTTTGTACATCTCTTTCATTTTTCTTTCTCATTCTTCTTTCTATTATTTCTTTTTACATCTCTTTCATTTTTCTTTCTCATTCTTTTTCTTTCTCATCTCTTTCATATTTTTTTTTCTCATTCTTCTTTCTATTATTTTCTTTGTACATCTCTTTCTTTTTTTCTTTCTTTCTTTCTTTTATTATTTCTTTTACATCTCTTTCATTTTTTCTTTCTTTTCTTCTTTTATTTCTTTCTACATCTCTTTCATTTTTTTTCTTTCTCATTCTTCTTTCTATTATTTCTTCTGTTACATCTCTTTGTTTTTTCTTTTCATTCTTCTTTCTATTATTTCTTTTACATCTCTTTCATTTTTTCTTTCTCATTCTTCTTTTCTATTATTTCTTTGTACATCTCTTTCATTTTTCTTTCTCATTCTTCTTTCTTTTATTTCTTTTGTACATCTCTTTCACTTTTTTTCTTTCTCATTCTTCTTTCTATTATTTTCTTTTCATCTCTTTCATTTTTTCTTTCTCATTCTTCTTTGTATTTCTTTTTTCTTTTTTCTTTCTCATTCTTTCATTTTTTCTTTTGTCATTCTTTCTTTTTCTTTTTTTTTCATTTTTTTTCTTTTTTTTTTTCTTCGATTTTTTTTTTGTACATCTCTTTCTTTTTTCTTTCTCATTCTTCTTTCCATTATTTCTTTTACATCTCTTTCTTTTTTTCTTTCTCATTCTTCTTTCTATTATTTCTTTTGTACATCTCTTTCATTTTTCTTTCTCATTTCTTCTTTTTTTGATTATTTCTTTTGTTCTTTCATTTTTTTTTCTCTTCTTTTCTATTATTTCTTTGTACATCTCTTTTTCATTTTTTTCTTTCTCATTCTTCCTTCTATTATTTCTTTTACATCTCTTTCTTTTTTTCTTTCTCATTCTTTTCTATTATTTCTTTGTACATCTCTTTCTTTCTTTTCTTTCTCATTCTTCTTTGTATTATTTCTTTGTACATCTCTTTCACTTTTTCTTTCTCATTCTTCTTTGTATTTTTTCTTATACATCTCTTTCATTTTTTCTTTCTCATTCTTCTTGTATTATTTCTTTGTACATCTCTTTCATTTTTTTCTTTTCATTCTTCTTCTATTATTTCTTTGTACATCTCTTTCATTTTTTCTTTCTCATTCTCTTTTATTATTTCTTTTGTACATCTTTTTTTTTCTTTCTCATTCTTTCTATTATTTCTTTTATACTCTCTTTCACTTTTTCTTTCTCATTCTTCTTTCTATTATTTTCTTTTGTACATCTCTTTTTTTTTCTTTTCATTCTTCTTTCTATTATTTTCTTTTTCATCTCTTTCTTTTTTTCTTTCTCATTCTTTTTCTATTATTTCTTTGTACATCTCTTTCATTTTTTTTTCTCATTCTTATTTTTATTATTTCTTTTGTACATCTCTTTAATTTTTTTTCTCATTTTCTTTCTATTATTTTTTGTACATCTCTTTCATTTTTTCTTTCTCATTCTTCTTTCTATTATTTCTTTTCTACATCTTTTTCATTCTTTTTTTTTCTTTCTCATTCTTTTCTTTTATTATTTCTTTTATACATCTCTTTATTTTTTCTTTTCATTCGATTCTTTTGTATTATTTCTTTGTACATCTCTTTCATTTTTCTTTCTCATTCTTCTTTTATTATTTCTTTGTACATCTCTTTTCTTTTTTTCTTTCTCATTCTTCTTTCTATTATTTCTTTTACATCTCTTTCATTTTTCTTTCTCATTCTTCTTTCTATTATTTCTTTTTACATCTCTTTCTTTTTTTCTTTTCTCATTCTTTTCTATTATTTCTTTTGTACATCTTTTCTTTTTTTTTTCTTTCTTCTTTCTATTATTTCTTTTGTACATCTCTTTCATTTTTTTCTTTCTTATTCTTCTTTTCTATTTTTCTTTTTTCTTTTCTTTTTCTTCTTCTTTTTATTTCTTTGTACATCTCTTTCATTTTTTCTTTCTCATTTTCTTTCTATTATTTCTTTTGTACATCTCTTTCCTTTTCTTTCTCATTCTTCTTTCTATTATTTCTTTGTACATCTCTTTCATTTTTTTTTTTCTTTTCTTTCTTTGTATTATTTCTTTGTATTCTCTCTTTCATTTTTCTTTCTCATTCTTCTTTTTTTTATTTCTTTGCACATTCTTTCATTTTCTTTCTTTCTTCTCATTCTTCTTTTATTATTTCTTTTGTACATCTCTTTTTCATTTTTTCTTTCTCATTCTTCTTTCTATTATTTCTTTCTCTTTCATTTTTCTTTCTCATTTTTTTTTCATTATTTCTTTCTACATTCTTTCATTTTCTTTTCATTCTTCTTTCATTTTTTTCTTTCTCATTCTTTCATTTTTTTCTCATTATTTTTTTTTTTCTTTTCTTTCATTTTTTTCTTTCTCATTCTTCTTTTCTATTATTTCTTTGTACATCTCTTTCATTTTTCTTTTCTCATTCTTCTTTTTATTATTTCTTTTGTACATCTCTTCATTTTTCTTTCTCATTCTTCTTTCTATTATTTCTTTGTACATCTCTTTCATTTTTCTTTCTCATTCTTCTTTTATATTATTTCTTTGTACATCTCTTTCATTTTTTCTTTTCATTCTTCTTTCTTTTTTTCTTTTTTTACATCTCTTTCCTTTTTTCTTTCTCATTCTTATTTTTTATTTCTTTGTACATCTTTTCATTTTTCTTTCTCATTCTTCTTTTTATTATTTCTTTGTACATCTCTTTCATTTTTCTTTTCTCATTCTTCTTTTATTATTTCTTTTATACATCTCTTTCATTTTTTCTTTCTCATTCTTCTTTTCTATTATTTCTTTGTACATCTCTTTCATTTTTCTTTTTCTCATTCTTCTTTGTATTATTTCTTTTGTACATCTCTTTCCTTTTCTTTCTCATTCTTCTTTCTATTATTTCTTTGTACATCTTTGTTTTCTTTTTTTTTTTCTCATTCTTCTTTTTCTATTATTTCTTTTGTACATCTCTTTTTTTTTCTTTCTCATTCTTCTTTCTTTATTTCTTTGTACATCTCTTTCACTTTTTCTTTCTCATTCTTCTTTGTATTATTTCTTTTACATCTCTTTCATTTTTTTCATTTTTCATTATTTTCTTTTTTCTTTTTTTCTTTCTTATTCTTCTTTCTAACATTTCTTTCATCTCTTTTTTTCTTTCTCATTCTTCTTTGTATTATTTCTTTGTACATCTCTTTCATTTTCTTTCTCATTCTTCTTTCTATTATTTCTTTGTACATCTCTTTCATTTTTCTTTCTCATTCTTCCTTCTATTATTTCTTTTCATTCTTTTCATTTTCTTTCTCATTCTTCTTTCTATTATTTCTTTGTACATCTCTTTCCTTTTTCTTTCTCATTCTTCTTTCTATTATTTCTTTGTACATCTCTTACATTTTTCTTTCTCATTCTTCTTTCTATTTTTCTTTTTTCATCTCTTTCTTTTTTTCTTTCTCATTCTTCTTTCTATTTTTTTTTTCAAAATTCTTCTTTTTGTATTATTTCTTTTCTCTTTTTTTCTTTCTCATTCTTCTTTCTATTATTTCTTTGTACATCTCTTTCATTTTTTCTTTCTCATTCTTCTTTCTATTATTTCTTTGTACATCTCTTTCACTTTTTCTTTCTCATTCTTCTTTGTATTATTTCTTTGTACATCTCTTTCACTTTTTCTTTCTCATTCTTCTTTCTATTATTTCTTTGTACATCTCTTTCATTTTCTTTTCATTCTTTTTCTATTATTTCTTTTACATCTCTTTCATTTTTCTTTCTCATTCTTCTTTCTATTATTTCTTTTTACATCTCTTTTCATTTTTTCTTTCTTATTCTTCTTTCTATTATTTCTTTTTTTCATCATTCTTCTTTCATTTTTCTTTTCATTCTTTCTTTCATTATTTCTACATCTCTTTCCTTTTCTTTCATTCTTCTTTCTATTATTTCTTTGTACATCTCTTTCACTTTTTCTTTCTCATTCTTCTTTCTATTATTTCTTTGTACATCTCTTTCACTTTTTCTTTCTCATTCTTCTTTCTATTATTTCTTTATACATCTCTTTCACTTTTTCTTTCTCATTCTTCTTTCTATTATTTCTGCCCATCCTTTTCACTTTTTCTTTCTCATTCTTCTTTCTATTTTTCTTTTACATCTCTTTCATTCTCTTCTTTCTTTCTTATTCTTTCTTCCTTACATCTCTTTCAATTTTTTCTTTCTCATTTTCTATTATTTCTTTGTACATCTCTAACCATTTTTCTTTCTCATTCTTCTTTCTATTTTTTCTTTGTACATCTCTTTTTTTTTTCTTTCTCATTCTTTTTTCTATTATTTCTTTGTACATCTCTTTCATTTTTTCTTTCTCATTCTTCTTTCTATTATTTCTTTATACATCTCTTTCATTTTTTCTTTCTCATTCTTCTTTCTATTATTTCTTTGTACATCTCTTTCACTTTTTCTTTCTCATTCTTCTTTCTATTATTTCTTTGTACATCTCTTTCACTTTTTCTTTCTCATTCTTCTTTCTATTATTTCTTTGTACATCTCTTTCACTTTTTCTTTCTCATTCTTCTTTGTATTATTTCTTTGTACATCTCTTTCATTTTCTTTTTCCATTTCTTCTTTCTATTATTTCTTTGTACATCTCTAAAATTTTTTTCTCTTTTCTTCTTTCTCTTTATTTTTTTATTTCTTTTTCCTTTTTCTTTTTTCATTCTTCTTTTCTATTATTTCTTTTACATCTCTTTCATTTTTTCTTCTCATTCTTCTTCTATTATTTCTACATCTCTTTCATTTTTTCTTTCTCATTCTTCTTTTATTATTTCTTTTACATCTCTTTTTTTTCTTTTCAGTTTCTTCTTTCTATTATTTTTTCTTTCTCTTTCTTTTTTTCTTTCTCATTCTTCTTTCTAAAATTTCTTTTTTTATTTTCTCACTTTCTTTTTTATTCTTTCTATTATTTTTTTATTACATTCTTTTCCTTTTTTCTTTCTCATTCTTCTTTTTTTTTTCTTTTTACATCTCTTTCATTTTTCTTTTCATTCTTTCTGTTATTTTTTTAGACATCTTTTTTTTTCTTTCTCATTCTTCTTTCTAATTCTTTTGTACATCTCTTTCATTTTTCTTTCTCATTCTTCTTTCTATTTTTCTTTGTACATATTTTTCTTTTTCATTTTTCTTTCTCATTCTTCTTTCTTTATTTCTTTTCATTTCTTTTCATTCTTTTTTTTTTTCTTTCTTCTTTCTAATATTCTTCTTTTCATCTCTTTCATTTTTCTTTTCTTTTCTTCTTTCTATTATTTTTTTTCATCTCTTTCATTTTTCTTTCTCATTCTTCTTTCTATTATTTCTTTGTACATCTCTTTTTCATTTCTCATTTTTTTTTCTTTTTCATTCTTTTCTTTTTTTATTCTTTTTCCATTATTTACATCATCTCTTTCATTTTTTCTTTCTCATTCTTCTTTCCTATTATTTCTTTTACATCTCTTTTTTTTTCTTCTCATTCTTCTTTTTATTATTTCTTTTTACATCTCTTTTTCATTTTTTTTTCTCTCATTTCTTCTTTTCTTTTCTTTGTACATCTCTTCATTTTTTCTTTTCATTCTTTTTTTATTATTTCTTTGTACATCTCTTTCATTTTTCTTTCTTTCTTCTTTCCATTATTTCTTTTGTACATCTCTTTGACTTTTCTTTTCATTCTTCTTTTATTATTTCTTTTGTACATCTCTTTTTCTTTTCTTTTTCATTCTTCAATTATTTCTTTGTACATCTCTTTCATTTCTTTTCATTCTTTTATTATTTTTTTCATCTCTTTCATTTTTTTTTCATTCTTCTTTCATTATTTCTTTTTTCTCTTTTTTTTCTTTCTCATTCTTCTTTGTATTATTTCTTTGACATCTCTTTCATTTTTTTTTTCTCATTCTTTTCATTATTTTACATCTCTTTCTATTTTTTCTTTTTCTCATTCTTCTTTTATTATTTCTTTTACATCTCTTTTGTTTTTTTTTTCTCATTCTTCTTTCTATTATTTCTTTTTACATCTTTTTTTTCTTTTTCTCATTCTTCTTTCTATTACATTTTTACATCTCTTTCTTTTTTTTCTTTCTCATTCTTCTTCTATTATTTCTTTTTACATCTCTTTCATTTTTTTCTTTCTCATTCTTCTTTCTTTCTCATCTTTTTTTTTTTTTTTCATTCTGCTTAATTTTTCTTTTTCTCTTTCACTTTTCTTTTTCATTCTTCTTCTATTTTTTTTTTGTACAATCATCTTTCATTTTTCTTTCTCATTCTTCTTTTCTATTATTTCTTTTTACATCTCTTTCCTTTTTCTTTCTCATTCTTCTTTCTATTATTTCTTTGTACATCTCTTTCATTTTTTCTTTCTTCCTTCTGCTTTCTTTGTACATTCTTTCTTTTCTTTCTACATCTCTTTCTATTATTTTTTTTCTTTCTTTCTTTCTTTCTATTATTTCTTTGTACATCTCTTTTCATTTTTCTTTTCATTTTCTTTTCTATTATTTCTTTACATCTCTTTCATTTTTTCTTTCTCATTCTTCTTTCTTTATTTTCTTTGTACATCTCTTTTTCTTTTTCTCTTTCTTCATTATTTCTTTCTTCATTTTTTTCTTTTCATACTTCTTTCTTTTCTTTTTTTCTTTCTTCATTCTTCTTTTTTCTATTATTTCTTTGTACATCTCTTTTCTTTTTTTCTTTCTCATTCTTCTTTCTATTATTTCTTTGTACATCTCTTTTTCATTTTTTCTTTTTCATTCTTCTTTCTATTATTTCTTTTACATCTCTTTCCTTTTCTTTCTCATTCTTCTTTCTTTTATTTCTTTTACATCTCTTTCATTTTTTCTTTCTCATTGTTTTCTATTATTTCTTTGTACATCTCTTTCTGTCTTTTCTTTCTCATTCTTCTTTTATTATTTCTTTTACATCTCTTTTCATTTTTTCTTTCTCATTCTTCTTTAAAATTCTTCTTTCTTATTATTTCATTTTTTCTTTCTTTCTTCTTTCATTTTTTCTTTCTCATTTCTTTCTTTTCTTTCTATTATTCTCCCTTATTTCTTTTCTGCATCTCTTTTTTTTTCTTTCTCATTCTTCTTTCTATTATAAATTTACATCTCTTTCATTTTTCTTTTCATTCTTCTTTCTTATTTCTTTGTACATCTCTTTTCCTTTTTTTTCATTCTTCTTTCTATTATTTCTTTGTACATCTCTTTCATTTTTTTCTTTCTCATTCTTCTTTCTATTATTTCTTCATACATCTCTTTCTTTTTTTCTTTCTTCTTTCTATTTCTTTTACATCTCTTTCCTTTCTTTTCTCATTCTTCTTTCTATTATTTCTTTTTTTCTTTCACTTTTCTTTCTCATTCTTCTTTCTATTATTTCTTTGTACATCTCTTTTCATTTTTTCTTTCTCATTCTTCTTTCTATTATTTCTTTGTACATCTCTCATTTTTTTTCATTCTTCTTTCTTTTTTTCTTTTCATCTCTTTCATTTTTTCTTTTCATTCTTCTTTCTTTATTTCTTTGTACATCTTTTCTTTTTTTTCTCATTCTTCTTTCTATTATTTCTTTATACATCTCTTTTTCCTTTTTCTTTCTCATTCTTCTTTCTATTATTTCCATCTCTTTTCACTTTTCTTTCTCATTCTTCTTTCATTCTTTCTTTTTTCTTTTCTTTTCTTTTCATTTATTCTTTCTATTATTTTCTTTTGCATCTCTAACATTCTTCTTTCTTTTTTTCTTTCTCATTCTTTTTTCTATTCTTTCTTTTATTATCTCTTTTCATTTTTTTCTTTCTCATTCTTCTTTCTATTATTTCTTTGTACATCTCTTTTCATTTTTCTTTTCATTCTTCTTTCTTTTTATTTCTTTGTACATCTCTTTCCTTTTCTTTCTTTTCATTCTTCTTTCTCATTATTTGTATTTTTTTTACATCTCTTTCATTTTTCATTCTTTTCTATTATTTTTTTCTTTTTCTTTCTCATTCTTCTTTTCTATTATTTCTACATCTCTTTCTTTTCTTTCTCATTTATAATCTATTTTTTCTTTTCTTTCTCATTCTTCTTTTCTATTATTTATTTCATCTCTTGTTTTTTTCTTTTTCATTCTTTGGAAATTTTTTATTTCTTTTCATCTCTT